GTAAATAACAATTTTATTTTGATGTAAGATTACTAAAGTTCTCCAGATCCTTAGCAGAATGTCTATTATCCTAAAAGACAAGATTAGTCAGAAAAATAAAGTCTTCATCCCAGGGGCTATTGAAACAACAGGCAGGTAAGTGAATATATGTAACAGCTCTTAATTTTGCTTATTTGCTCTTTGGAACATGTGAATAGATGTACAATTTATTTGTCATAAATACACAAGCCTTGAGTGTTTTGGTTTGTTTTCCAGATGGGGATTAACGTGGTAGACTCTGCAGTATCTGGATTAGGTGGTTGCCCTTATGCAAAAGGTGCTTCTGGGAATGTAGCCACTGAGGATTTGATATATATGCTAAATGGCCTGGGGCTCAAAACAGTAAGTTAATTTAACATATTTTAATATTTATGTACTCCTTACAGATTCAAATCAGAATGCATTGCAGATTTGGTAAGCAAGTTTGAGGTCAAAGTTTTACTACATTTTTACTATCTACTAAAATGCTCAGTGGGAAAATACAGTAATTCTTTGAGGGGCCTTATAAAGTAACTTATTTTTATAGATCAATCACCAAAAATGCTACCATGTCACAATTTTACAGCACTTCATGACCCCGAAAGTACTTTTTCACATATTATCTGATTTGACACCACACACTTTGAGTTAGAGCCTGCATCTTTGCTGTTATGTTTTCACTGTTTTATGTTTTAGTATGAATGTTTTCCTTGAAGGATATGAGGATCTTGATTTTTCTCAAAGGACAACAACTAAGGCTTCTGGAAAAGAATTTAGGGTACTTTTAAATTGGTCAGTGGTGGAGTTTAGTCATACTTAACATGTGAGATGCTGGATGGCAACAGTCTCTACAGATCATACCTGGAAAGTCATTAGCTCTATTAACAGCCACCAAAATCAGCACAGTGATTTTTTCCTCATGCTTAGCAGAATGTAAGGCAGATTTTATTTTTTGGAGGGTAAACATAAAAATCAAGGGAAAGTGTTTACAGATGATTGGGATTTTAAAATACTTTGTATAATATAGAAGCATCATCTTGATTATCAAATGGAATTTCCCCCTCTGTCCATCTCTTCCATCTCTTCCTTTGTTGTTGCTCCTGCAACAACAAACTTGACTATAGTCCCCATTTCTGTAGCGCCAATCTCTTTCTTTTAGCCCATGGGCTCACTGTCACCATCACTTGGAATAGCCTCATTCCTCAGATTCATTTTCATGAGTTCATCCTTAAAACCTCTAACGGCTCCCTGCCTATCCCCTGATCCATACTGTGGGTATTTGTTCTTCAGTGTTTCCCTCCTAACCTCTGTGTCTCTACCTCTTAACCCAATTTGAGTTTCTGTTAGGATCTTACTGCTTTGCCTAACATGTCCTGCAGCCAGAGAGCACTCATTACAACTTAGTCACATTTGTGTTGGTTGAATAAAGATATTCTATAATATTAATGCAGACTGACATCACTGGGTACTAAGCACCTAAAAGCTATTGCCTGCCTCCTCTGGTTAGGAATATTTTATTTAAAAAGTAACTTAATTTCCATAATTTAATGATATCAGAAACATAGAACTATCACAGAAACTGAGCAGAAATAAAAAATCCTTCCTTGGACCTTGACAAAACTGAATTAAACTCAGCTGATGCTTAATAACTATCAGGCCATGGGGGTCCCAAATGATGAAAGTTATATCTTATTTCAAAGAATTTCACAATTCATGGATGATGATTATATAGGCAACAGCTACAATTCAACCAGTTACCCAAGATAACAAGCCAAGATTCTCTGTAGAACTTTGCAGCACTCTTGTTCTCAAGCCCAATCAAACAGCTGCTAATTTAATATCTAAAATATATTGGTTGTCCCTTACTGTCCTTGCTATAATTATGTCAGGTTAGTTTTAAATTAAATAATTGGGTTAGGTTTTACCTTATAATAAGGCTTATTGTATCTTCTCTGGACATCCCTGCCATGAATCCACACATGTCCCATAATATTTTTCTGACATGTTTTACTATCCTTCTGTCTATGGAATCCCAGCCACCCTCCTCCTTAAGGAATCGAACTCTTCATGGAAGACTCAAGTCAGGATTTACGCCCTTCCTTTACATGTTCCTCTTTGCTCCAAGAATTGACTGCCCTGCAGCTCTGCCCTCACTGCCATCTTGTTTATCTGTTTATCAGTGACACTCTGAGTAGTTCAGGGTTTTCTCTTTAGGATTCCATCTTCCTGCTTTGAACATGAGCACCTCAGAGACAGAGGCCATCTTCTACATGAGGTTCCCAAAGCCCAGCATGTCATAGGATGTGAGAAATAAGTATCTGATAGCACTGCACTTACTTTTAAATCACTTATTTCATAATGAAATATGCTCATTAAATGGGCAAGAAAGGTCAATGTGATTTTTCTCCTTTTGTATGATGTCAAAAAAGCCCATTACATAAGAGTTATAAGTAGAATTCTTGTTAAGGGAAGAACATTAGTGATTAAATTCTTCTAGGGTTCCCTTATTCAGTATAATTCAGAAATGAAAGATAAATGTAGTTATTTATAAAATTTAAATATCACCAGGTTAGAATGTTAACCTAAAATGCCATAAAGGTACTCTATCTAAAGCTTCATCATGACAAAGCCAAACTTCTCAGACCAAAGCAAATATCGGTACCTTCAGAACACTTCATACTAAAGTAAATAAAAATAATTTCTAAGTGTCACAGGACAATGTATTTTTTGGTCATTCTTGAAAAAGCAAAATGTGAAGGATAAGGCTCTCTAAAAGTAATTAACTTATTAAAATGACAATCTATGATCATTATTATGAAAAACCTCATGAGCACTTAGTCTGTTTTAAGAAAATGACATAACTACATAAATCTTAAAACTACTCCTTAACAGAAAGGAAATCTGATTCTGTTCAATTTTAAATCCACATTGTGTCTAGCCCATCGTGAAGGAGGTCATAGAAGCTTATAAAACTCTGTATGAGGGCAAATCTCTGGTTAATCTACTTAATGCTCTGTCTCCCTCAGTGACAGCAAAGGTGCTGGGTGGAGACCTTGATGGCGACCTTTTGTTACACCAAGATGCAGAGATGAGGAGCTTGTACTGAACTTGGCCTTCATACCCAACTGCATATCTGTCATCCGTGGATTTCTCTAAGCCTTTGTTGATCCTATTTATGCTTTCAGACAGTCCAGCTTCTCAGGCAAACAAGTTCCAGATGTGTACTAAATACCACTTCATTTTATTTCATCTACCTCCTTCAGTATCATATCAGCTAGAAGATTCAATATCATTGTTGTTCAGAAACAATGTTTTTGATCATGCTAAAAAAATAGATATAATCTTTCCTATACATCTTACAATTATATACATTTGTTTATGTATAGTAGGGAAATTTTTCCTTTGTCTTAAGTACCTATGTATAAATCTGCCAAACCATTAACACTTTAGTTATCCTTCATTGAAAGTTTATAGGTGGATACTTCCATTAGTGTCCTTCCTAGAGTTTAGGCATCAGCCTGAATTAGCCTATGGTTTTATACCAGGGTAAGAATCAAGACATGTTTTAATGAAGCAGAAAATCTAATAAAAGGTTCACTACATGACTCATGAAAACAAATGTCTACAGGTCAATAATGGCAACAATGTTGTTTATCATTAATAAATATGAAGGGAATCTATTTTGATTTCCTTCTCACTCCCCCCCTTCTCAACTGATATCTCTCGTTTTCCTTACCAGGGTGTGAATCTTTACAAAGTGATGGAAGCTGGTGACTTTATCTGCAAAGCTGTGAATAAAACCACAAACTCTAAAGTAGCTCAAGCCTCCTCGAATGTTTGATGTGCATTTGTGACTCAAGGCAGAGAAGATCCATTTCAGCTACAAATATTCATCTGAAAATCATTACTGTCAACTTGTTCTGAAATGTTAAGTAGCATAGACGAGTGGGAAAAAAACACTTTTAAAAAGAATATAACTGGATGGATTATGAAGTCAGCGGAAAGTAATGCCAGTCGTCAGGTAAACTGCAAGTTGAAACTAAATAATAAAATTTGTAGATGTACTTTTGAATTTCTAGTAAAGTCTTCTGTTTTGCTCTTCCAGAAATAACTTTTTTAATTTAGTAGACGTGAAAATTGACTTCAGATTTCCCTAAGTATCAAATACTGTGTTAATACTTAATCAAGCTGGCTTAGCACAGAGCACATATCGTCGGTGGTTTATGAGCTCCTGCAGAGTGTGCGAAGTGTGTGGCCTCGCTATTATGCACTACGCCTCTGGATCTCAACTTGCCACTTGCCAAGTCAGTTAAGTTACGGATCAAGCGCCAAAACTCCATCTGACCCTACATAATTTTTAGCAATAGAACTTTTATATTTTGAGTATGGCTAACATCTGTTAACTATTTCAATGACTTTATCTTGTTCCAAGAGGCTGTGGTCAATGGCAAGACGCCATATCCTGGAAACATATTACGACCTCCCATGTTTGTTACATGCATCCAGTTTACCATACCTTCCCTTTCATCAGCCATAGTTAAAGTCGTCGTAAAAACCAGCATGGTGGTGGTATTGCTTGGCTATAGAGAAGTGGAAGGCACGGCTTTGATCCCAGTGTCCACATTGCAGTGAGGAGGTTGATGCATGTACAGCAATCCTCTACTCTTGTAATTTTCAGATCACTTCCAAATTGCTCATGGAAATACTATTGTGATCCTAGGAATGGTAAGAGATTTCTTAACTCATGAATAAACTCTTTTGCTTTGATTCAGGATACTTTGATTACATCACATTTTTGAGGTTGGCTTTTTTATATTTATTTTTAATGTTGAAGTGGCTGAAATTTGATCTCTTGTACTAGATAGCATTACCAGAAATAACCAAGATTAAGATATCCGACGATATGTGCAGGAGAATTATGTTAAGAAAAACATTTCTCCAACCTATGCAAATCATGTGGGAACAATATTATTACCAGTAGGTTTAAAATATCAGTTCTTATGTACTCTTCTCCAATGTTACTGGGTGATCTTATCTTTGAATAAATTTGAATAGATCTTGAAATATCAAAGTGAGTACTGTGGACTTTCTGCTCAAAATTCAACAAAACCATGGAAATAAGAAGCATTCAGTACAATAAGATTACAGCTAAGTTAACTTTTAAAAATATACAATAGTGAGAGAAGAAGCACAAGGGAAACATTAATAATTGACAAAAGAAAATTAATTCCTAGGGAAAATGCCAACTTGTCAGGTTGTGATGGAGGTAAAGCAGTAGGCTGTCCTCTGGAGGACTAAATAACTGTACCTTTGCATAGATGTTGAGGTGGGGGCGGGGAGCAGTGCAGGAAGTAACCAAAGTCATAGCTCTTTTACATGACGATCTCAGATGCATCTCTCTCCCGTGTGTCAGTCTGCATAAAGCACTTGTCCCTGTGTACTGGCACAGTGATTATACAACTCCCTAAGTACATGACAGGACATGTCTTCTGAGGGTACTTTCCCTATCTCTTAGAGTACTATGGGTTCTTTTGAGCTATTTGGAAAAGCATCTATTGAAACAAACTGCTTATAGAAATAGCTAAGGACAAAGCTTTGTTGCTTTGAAATAAAAGATTCACAAAAGGCACAACAAGCAGTAAAATACCAAGTTTGGTATAACATACATTTAAATGTATACATATGTCTATGGATTCATTTCCAAAAATGTCTCCCTGCTACCTAAGCACACTCACCTGTGTTCCTTTCTCCACCCAGATGTTTAAACAGTACTGCTAATGAACAAGAGTTTCGTTCCAAGGGTTTTTTTGTTTGTTTGTTTTGTATTGTTTTGGGAGGGAAGGTGTTGGGAAGCACAAAAATCACATAAAACAAGTACATAGGCAAGTAACCAGGAAAACTTGGAGTCATTATAAGACACAGTCACACATAAAACCTATACCATGGGCCCTCTCTGGTGGCGCAGCAGGTTAAAGCACAGCACTGAGAAGCTAAAGCCACTTCTGCATGAGTTCGATTCCCGCCTGCCCCGGAGGTGACCACATGGCACGCAGACCTCTCCTGACCCATCTGCTGCTCCCCTCAGCAGTGTACTTCGTCGATCTGCCTGTTCTGTACCCCACTCTGTCTCTGGTGAAGCCTCTTGCTGCCCCTGCACCTCTGGCCTGTACCCCAGTTCTGTATGCACAAATAAAGAAATCTTAAAAAAAAAAAAAAAAAAAAAAAACTTATACCATGTTAGCCTTGGGGAAAGGCTTAAAAATGACAAAGCAATTATGACCTTTACTGAGATACATATCAAAACAGCTTTTATGATACTTGCCCTTAAGACAAGGAAAAATATTGTTTACATGTTCTAGAATATGTACTTTTTTTTATCACCTGTGTTGATGACCTATGATAAATGAAGACTTTAAGACTAAATCCTCAGAAAGCAGGGTATTTTCTAAATTCTGGATCCATAAAATTCAAAGCAAGCAAACACACTGGTTATGACAGAAAACTCAGAACACTCTTCTATGTGACTTACTGCGATCAGCATTTAATAAATGCCTTTTTCCATGCACTTAGAAGGCTGTTTTTGTTTTGTTTTGTTTTAAAGATTTATTTATTCATATAAAACTGGGGTACAGGCCAGAGATGTGGAGGGTGAGAGGATTCACCAGAGACAGAATGGGGAGCAGAACAGGCAGATCGACGAAGTACACTGCTGAGGGGAGCAGTGGGCAGGTCAGGGGAGGTCTGCCTCTTCATGTGGATCTCCTCCGGGGCAGGCTGAATCGAACTCATGCGCAGAAGTGGCTTAAGCTTCTAAGTGCAGTGCTTTAACCCGCTGCGCCACCAGGGAGGGCCAGAAGGCTGTTTTTATATGCATGCACCTTGCATCTCTAAGAGGATAAAACCCAGTCACAGGTTATTAGGATTGATAACACCTACCCTGTCACAACTATAAGAAGACATAGGGGATAAGTCTCAGTGCTGTTGTTACACTATCACTGCCATCACCACTGGCTGTGGCAGCAGACCTTTCCTGTCTTGCCCCATTTTCCTCAGCAGTGTATTTCAGTGTATCTGCCCGTTCTGCTCCCCACTCTGTCTCTGGTGAATCCTCTCACCCCCTGCACCTCTGACCTACACCTAGTTCTTCTATGCATAAATAAATAAATAAATAAATAAATAGGTCAGGAAAACAGTCAAAAATCTCAGTTGAAATAATAGGCAAGTGTAGAGTTACTGTGAATACCAGTAATCACTTGAATTTGCTGTGGTAAAGTAGATCAATTGGACTGTTTATCTTTAGGTGATAGTCCTGAGGGGAGAAATCAACCACTGTACAGAAATTAATGACATAAAAATATGTAATTAAAAATGAAATAAAGGGGCCCTCCCTAGTGGTCCAACGGGTTAGGATGCAGTACTGCAAGCTAGCCAGAGCTGCTTCAGTGTGAGTTCATTCCCCTACCCCTGAGGTGATCCACATGGTGCCTCAGACCTCTCCTCAGACCTGTTTCACCCACTCCTCCCCTCAGCAGTGTACTTCATCGATCTACCTGTTCTGCTCCCCACTATGTCTGTGGTGAAACCTCTAACTGCCCCTGCCCCTCTAGCCTGTACCTCAGTTCTGTATGCATAAATCTTTTTTTTAATGAAATAAAGAATACAAAGACAGATTTGAGGTGCACCCTGTTCAATGCAGCACTATTAATAATAGCTAAGCTGTGGAAATAGCTGAAGTGTCCAGTGACATATGCTTGGACAAAGAAGATATGGAATGGAATGGAATACTTCACACAACGGAATACTTCAGCTATAACAGACAAAATCTTGCCATTTGCAACAACATGGATGGACCGTGAGCACATTATGGTAAATGAGTAACTCAGACAAAGACATATACAGTGAAATTTCACTCATAGGTGAAATATAAAGAAACAGCAAGTGAAAGAATAAAACAGAAACAAAATTCTTAGATACAGTTAATAGATTGGTGGTTACTGGATGAAAAGGGGGTTGAGTTGGTGGGTGAAATTGTGAAGCTGTTGATGAATGAAAAGTAAACTTTCTGTAATGATTATCATACAGTATATTCAGATGTTGAACTAATGTTATACCTGAAACTTATATAGTATTAACCAATGTTACCTCCACCAAAATCTTTTGAAAAAGAAAAAAAAATTAGGTGATAGAAACCTTAGCTCAATAAGCTTAAAGAAAAAGAAAGATTATCTCAAGATTATTTCAGAAAGATTGCTTTTCCACCAGTTTAACTCAGTGGGTCAATTGTGCTTCTAACAAAAACAATCTCACCATTTTCCTGCTTTTCCAGTATTAAGGTATTGGTTTACCTTCTGTGCTCCTTAGCCTTAGAATTGTCCAGATTGCTGCACTTTCAGGCTTCGTATTCCACATAGAGCCCAGTCACCACAATTCTTCCAGAAAGTCATGTTTTAAATTAATGAAGAACATGTCTCCATCCTGCCCCAATCAATCTTCCTGTATTTTTCATTAAGCAGACTCTCACAGGCCCTTTCTTACACACTTACATGGAGATTAGATCATCATCACAGACAACAAGGTCACTGGTGACATTGAACTGATCCGTGTAGTAGTGGGGATACTGGTAGGAGTACACTTTATGGTGAGACAGGGTAGACAAATCTAAGGCAGATGAGTTAACAACTCTAAAGAGCCATAGCTAATTTCTCAGACAGGAGGAAAGAATAGAGATTGGGAGTTTTAAATTTGAGGGGTTTAGTTTCAAGGCAAAAGTAGCTGATCCTGCTAATTGGTTTCTACTCTTTTCAGTAAGATGCGGAAGACTTTGAGGATTAGAAATGGGTATGGAGTGAGAGCCTAAGAGAGTCAAGTTTGAAATCTAGAGCAGTGTTAGAAGTAAACTCACTGTAAGTCTCCAGAGTGATCAGGGCCAAATCCAAGTCCATTGACCTGTCTTCATGCTACCTTCACTGCTATTGGACACACTGGCACTTACCTGAAGGCCTTTTCGATTTTGGTGGCATAGCTCCATTGCTCTTTGCATTTTGGAGTCCCTCTTCCTAGAGTCTAATGTGG